CACTTGGGTGTGTTATTCCAGCTAATATACGAAGTAACTCAGAAATTTGGTAGCTTTGTGTGGGGAGTCTGGAGCAGGAGAAGGCTCTTCAGCAGGGTTCAGGCTGCTATGCAGGCTGTTCTACCACTTGGACCATATGATCCAGCCAACACTGTGGTACTTGAGGTCTCAGTGGCAGATAGGGATGCTGTTTGGAGCCTTTGGCAGGATCTATAGGTGAATCAGAGAAGAGAACTTTGTAGTTTTGGAGCAAGGCTCTACCATCACCTGCAGATAATTGTTCTCCCTTTGAAAGACAGCTCTTGGCCTCCTATTGGGTCTTAGTAGATGTCCCAACCTGCAGGACATCAATCTGGGGCAAGAGAGTCCGGGATAGGAGATGGGGACAAAAGAATGACCAAAAGACAGGATTCTGATCAAGTGGCAAACTATTTTGTTCTTAGACTAGCTTATATAGTTGGCAGAGCAGGATATGGTGAGGGGTAGAATGGGTTGTTTGTGAGCCAGATGTTAGTGTAGGCAGGATATTGGGAAGCCACAAAGAGGATGTTTGGCAGGCTAAAGAGTTTAGGAGTAAGAGGTCCAGGAAGGGTTGCATAGGTGACTGAGCCTGTGGGTGGAGGACTGGGTCTTTTCTTGAGCTGAGGTTCTAAGGAGCTCCTATGTAAAGGTTAATATACAACTATGTGGCCAACCAAGAATGGCCTAGGGTCTCATTCCCAGACCTGAGATTTGGCACCCAACAAGTAGAAACTGAATATTTGACATTTCATCACCAAATTACCATAAGATTTGAATTAATCATCCCAAGCTGGTTGTTACCAGACCCACTGAGTCATAAAGTAGGATGTGCATTGCAGTATTCTATCAAATGGAAGTGGTATAAGGAGATCAGGCCAAGCAGGTCTTGAAGGCATAAACAAGCTACACAAAGAAGTTGCCCAAATGCCTATGGTTTCCACTCCTGTTAATAATGCCATCTGCTGCCAAGTATTCACCTATAGCCTCATGGGGTGTGCCCTATGATCAGCTGACTAGGTCCTGGTTTTCTGACAGTTCTGTATGCTATATAGGCACCACCCAGAAGTGGACAGCTGCAGCATTAAAAATCCTTTGTGGGACATTTGTGAAAGTTACTGGTGAAGGAAATCTTCATGGTGGGCAGAACTTTGGGCAGTACAAAGGGTCATACAGTTTGTTTGGAAGGAGATATGGCCAGATGTACAATTGTTCATTGGCTGTAACAAATGGATTGCCTGGATGGTTAGGAACTTGGAAAGAACATGATTGGAAAATTAGTGAGAAAGTCATCTGGGAAAGAAGTATGTAGATAGATCTCTACAAATGTGCCAAGGGTGTGAAGATACTTGTGTGCCATGGAAATGTTCACTAAAGATGACTTCAAGTGATGGGAAGTTCAATAATCAAATACACAGAATGACTTGTTCTGTGGATATTCAGCCTGTTTCTCCAGACATTCCTGTTGTTGCCCAATGGGCCCATGAACAAAGTAGCCTTGGTGGCAGTGATGAGGATTATAGATTGTATCAAAAACATGGAATTCCATTCATCAAGGCTGACCTGGACATAGCTGCTGCTGAGTGCCAGATCTGCCAACAGCAGAGACCAACACTGAGCCACAGATATGGCTCCATTCCCTGGGGTGACTAGTCAGCAATCTGGTAGCAGGTTGACTATATTGGACCACTTGTTCTTACAGGAGTAGATACTTATTCTGGTTATGGATTTGTCTTTCCTTTACATAAAGCTTCTGCCACACTCACAATCCGTGGAGTTACTTATCCATGGACATGTATTCTACACAGTATTGCTTCTGACCAGGGAACTCACTTCACAGCCAGAGAAATGTGACAGTGGGCACAGAATTATGGAATGCACTGGTCTTACCATATCCCCTCCATCCTGAGAGAGCTGGCCTGATAGAAAATGGCATGGCCTTTTGAAGATGAAGCTACAGTGCCAATTAGGTGACAGCCATATACACAGCTGGGGCAGGGCTCTCCAGAAAGCAGTATATGCTTTGAATCAGCCTTCAAAAATACTGTATTATTTCTCCCAAAGCCAGGATCTACTGTTCTAGGAATCAAGGGTGGAAAAGAGAATAGTTCCACTCAATATTACCTCTAGTAACCAACTAGTAAAGCTTTTGCTTCCTGTTCCCACAACTTTAAGTTCTGCTGTCCTAGAAGTTTTGGTTCAAGAGGGCCGAATGTTCTTGCTAGGAGCCACAACAAACCTTCCATTGAACTGGAAACTCACATCTTTCTGGTCACTTTGGGATTCTAATGCCCTTAAATCAACAGGCTAAGAAAGAAATGAATGTGTGATGAAGGATGATAGATCCAGATTACCTTGGGGAAGTTAGATTACCTCCCCACAATGTAGGTAAGAAGGATTATGTCTGGAGGGCAGGAGATCTTTTAGGTACTACTGTACCCTGTGATTAATGTTAATGGGAAACTACAACAGCCTAATCCAGACAGGCTGACAAATGGCATAGGCCCATCAGGAAGGAAGGTGTGGGTCACTTTGCCAGGGAAAGAGCCAAGGCCTGCTAATGTGCTTGTAGAGGGTGGAAGAAATACAGACTGGGTAGTAGAGGAAGATAGGTTTTTTTGAGACAGGGTTTCTTGGTATAACAGCCCTAGTGGTCCTGGAACTAGCTTTGTAGACCAGGCTTAGTTTCAAAATCACAGAGATCTGCCTGCCTTTCCCTTCCCGAGTTCTGAGATTAAAGGCATGCACCACCAATGCCGGATTTTGGGGGGGGTAGTTCTGAATAGCATTTAAGTTCACATGACCAGTTACAAAGATGAGGAATATAACTAACATGAGTGTTTCTGTTGTATTTTGCTAAGAATATATTGGTACAGATATTTGTGTTTTCTTCCAATTTCCTTATCATATGTTGTAACATCAATGGTTATCATATGAATCTGAAATGCTAGAATGATGTCACCAAAAGGGCATTGCCACTTATTCTAAATTTGTAATGCATTTGTAGTTGTACAAGGGATAGTTATATCATGCCAGGCATAATTATGACCTGGTTAAATATATAATGAGTTTGTGATTATATGTGGGATACTGGAAGGCACACCATTAATCTGGGCCATACCTTCTGCTGGAAGCCTATATAAGGACAATGAAAGATGGAAGGGTCCTTCATTCTTTCTTCACCTACTTAACTTCACCTTGTCAGCACATCCTTTGTTTTACTGGCATTGGAGCCTACTTTTTTGGCATTCCACCATATACAGAAGAGCAGCTGTGACACCCAGCCTTGTAGGACTGAATGACTACTAGATTCTTGGAATTTCCATTCACAGCTAGCCATTGTTGGACTGCAGCTTGTAAGTCATTCCAAGAAATTACACACACACACACACACACACACACACACACACACACACGCACGCACACACTCCATAAATTCTATGGCTGTAGAGAACCCTGACATCCTCCATGCTCACTTCCTCCCAAAGTAAGGAAGCTGATTTAAGAAATTCACTTTCCACTCTAATGAGATGAGAATTACCAGTTTCTTGGTCTCTCCTATCAGTCTTCCCACTATAAGAACTGAGTCTCAAATCTGATAGGCATTAGTGTGAACAATGAGGGTACTTTTCCCTGAGAAGAGCTGTATTCCTTACAAAGCTATGGCAATATTTCTCATTACCCAGGAATCCATGAGCAGATATGTTTAAATATGACGTTCCATGACATCTTCATCTTCTTCATCTTCAGAGTATCGGGTATTCTCTAGAGAATTTGGCCTCAGCCCACCAGATGCATTAAATCCACATCATGC